CTCTATATCCTGAAAAAAGTGAATGATATTTAAAAATAAAATTAGGAGTTACTTCAAAATGTAGATGTTCACCAACGTGGTAAATATGTTTGTTTTGCTTCTTGAAATTGATGATTCTTCATTGTCACATCATCTCTTTTTCATCATTCAAACATGCATGTGATGCTGCTGGTATGCACTATTATTAGTTTCCATACTTTTTTTGATTAAAGTATGTCTATAGCTTTTTCAATATTAGTTACATCAAATATAATTTTACTTCAATATTATACTTGAACATGATGTCTGAACATGAATTATAAGATAGTTTGGGCGCTTGAAACATGAAAAGCAATATTAATTTTTCTCCAAATATTAACAGTTTTAGGCAGAATATTTCATCTTTTAAAAATTCTGTCCCTAACGTAACATGATCTCCAACTATGTACTTAGTTACATAGATAGGTAAAACTTACACATAAATGCTACTTAAAATATTTGTGGACTTCTTATAAAGGCTTAGTATGTTGTGTAGAAGGATGTCTATCTTTTTTAATAGTGACAAGCCATAGAACTGCTCTGAAAAAAACACATTAAGGTAGTTAGTATTATTTCAGATTTGATAATGAAATGGCCCCAAAGTGAGATTAACGTAATGAATGGAGTAATGAAAATGGGAGAAAAAACTGCTGAGAAATTATCTGACGGCATCCAATTCAAAAGATTGTGGTCTTGAAAATTTCTGTGTTAAGCTAGATAAACCTTATCTGTATTCTCAAAGAGCTTACAGTTTAGACGGAATGAGAGCAGTGTAAGGATCACTTGTAAAACAGTGTGATGTGTTATGAAGTTAAAGAAGAGGAATATGTAACACACACAAAGGGAGCAAAGGAAGACTTCTTGAAGGAAGTGGCACGGGGATAAGAACGTGATGGTAAATATTAGCCAAGTAAAGAAACATGGGGTGGAATAGTTGGTAGGAAAGATCAGAGGCAAGAGGGCAAGACTCATAAATAGGAAACTGTGTACACTCCAACAAGGCTGAGAGCAAGAGCAGGTGAAATAGACAAGTTGTGCAATACAGGGCTCATTCAACTTCTAAGAAATCTGAATTTTATCCTAAAGAAATAAGAATTGAATGGGTTAAACAGAAAACTGGCCTAAATATATTCATTTAGCAAGAAGGTTTAGGAGGTTGTTGCCATAGAGATTATGATGGCATGAACTAGTAGAGTAGCAGTGAAAACAGAGTGGATGGAATGGAGAGAAATTTTAGAAACCACAGTTGCTAGGGCTTTGTGATTATTAGGCATAAGAAAATGATAAAGAGAAAGAAGCACGAAGTCCAGGTTTTTGGCCTGGGAAACTTAGATAGAAAAGATGATGAATTTAGTGTGGGGAGAACTATGAGTAATAGTCATGTCCAGTAAGCACTTAGATATAATATCAAACTCAGGAGGGAGAACTGGGCTTGCAATGGAGATAAGAGAGTCATCAGTTGGCAGAAACAACTGCTAAAGCCATGGGAATAGATCTCATCACCCAGGCACAGGTACAGTGTGTGTGTGTGTGGGGGCAGACACAGAATACCAGGATTTTTATGCCTACCCACACATCAAGGCAAGAAGGATTCTTGTTTAGAGTGCCCTGAGCCTTGCTCTTCATGGAATGAGGAATCTGTATGGCCAAGGAACGTGCTGACCTGGAGCTCCCCAGACAGCTCCCTGGAAACCCTGGATCCCAGAATTCCTGCCCATATGGCTCTGAGTCTGCTTCCAGGGTCTGTGCAGTCCTCCTTGTAGGGTCTATCTCCTTAGTACCCACCATGCTGCTGATAAGTCACACTGAGGCCTGAGGCATGGGCCACGTGTGGAGAGCAATGCAATAAGAACAGGCATGATAGCCTGCGGTGGTTACGCACATGCGTAAGGCCTCTTCGGTAATAATGGGCAGACCAGGAGTGGGTGTAAGAGAGGAGCCTGCTCAAAGCCAGGGGGGTGCTTTTACTTATGCTGCCAAGGTCTGGTGTCGAGCTACAAGGAATCTGAAAATTCCTATTTATTTGGACTTAACCTTCCAAGCTAGGAGGATAGAATGTAAGTTTTTCAGATAGATGTAGAAAATGAAAGTGTTTAGGCACATGAATGGGGAGCCTCTGTTTGTACTTTGCTCCATGTTCATAGCTGTTAGGAGTAAGTCCATAAATAAGACTGGGAAAGAGCAGTCAGAGAAGCTGGAAGCAAGGCAAGAGAGATCAATGTCATAGAAACCAAGGAAGAAGTGTTTCTAAACGAACCATTTGTAGTGGCAAACGCTCTCTAGGAGTTGTGTAAGATACTGTATTAAAAGGGTCCACTGAATTTGGCACCGTGGAAGCTAGTAGTGACCTCAATGAGAATGATTTCAATGGAGTGTGGGGAAGAAAGCCAGGTTACGTGGACTGGGAAATGAGCAGAGAGAAAGAAACATAGAAAGCAAGCACAGAGAACTCTTTCAACAGTCCCATGGCTGAAGATAAGGAGAATATAGGTGGCAGCTAAAAGGAGATTGGGATTTAAGAGAATTTATTTTTTAACTAAGAGAGTTTATCACATTTAATGTTGGTAGGAAAATGCCAATAGAGAAGAGAGGTTAAAAATGTATGTCAGAAAGGGGAAAAATAATAGTATGAAGTACTTGGGAGAGCAGGATAGGAGAATTCCATGGGACAAGAGGAAGAACTAATGAGAAAGAGGAGTCCTTCCACCACTGGAGTAAAAAGTAAGTGTTCACGGGGACGCACACACTTCTGTAGGACTGGCTGTGTTACACTGGGATCATTTCAACTGATTTTATTCCCTATGAATATAGACAGATGATCACCAAGGAGGGAAATGCCAGGTTTGCAGAGAGTAGAGAAAGACTGAAATGGCCATGGTGGAGAACAGGAGAGAAGATGGTTCAAGGATGGAGGACCAACTGATATTTGATAATTCATTTATCTACAGTGACACCAACTAATGAAGGTGTGAAGAGCTGAGAAGTGAACAAAGAAAAGATGCTCAATGTGCTTTATGAGACAGGGGTGTCATTAAGAGAAGGTGATGGCTTGGCGCCTGTGGCTCAAGTGGCTAAGGCGCCAGCCATATACACCTAAGGTGGCAGGTTC